AGGAACCTCACAATCAGGCTGATCCATAACCCAAGCTTTGTTAAGGCTCATTAAACTGGAACTGTTTCAGTGCCAGTTTCTCTTGTGGGGCTGCTCCTCTGGCTCCTGCACAGCCTGGCTTGCACTCACACTGCTCCCCTTGCTGTGCAGTGTGTTTACCAAGACATTCCCCCAACTGCCTTGAGTATGGTGTTTTGAACTCCTGTCAAATCCCAAATATTGGTGAGCAGGGAAATCTGGAATTTGTCTTCATGTGAAATGCTAAGTAAAATCTGTGGGGCTGTCAGAGGAGGGGAGCCACCTCTGCCTCCTGCCTGGTGCTCAGTGTCCCAGCCATTTGTGCCTTGCCATTGGCAGCCCCCACTCTCCTGCAGGGACATAGTTGTCTCTCTGATGTTTCTGAAGGTGTTGCTGGAGTTTAGGCTGTATTTTTGTTTTTCTGTTTTATCAATTGTAAACACAAGCTTGTAAGTTCCCTTTTGTCTAACACAGCCAAGATGTTGCAGGCTGCCAAGGAGGCAAAATAAATTTTGTGTGATAGGTGAGAGCTACACACCAGGAGCCACAGAAGTCAGTATTTTCCACTAATTACCAAGAAAATTCTGTGTGTGTTGGCAAAGATCCCAGCATGAGCAATAAAAGTGAGTATTTGGCATGAGGTCAGTCCTGGGTAAAGCACATATCAACAATTCCAAGTGTGTCATGTGCAGGAGTAGAAGTCTGTCCCTGGGAGCATGGTGGAGGGTGGCATTTCCTGCTTTAAAACACTCTGCAGGCTCAGGTAGCCCAGTGAGGTAGATGTTGACTTTTTGAAGGCAAACACTGCAGCCCCAGGTGAGAGGGATGCTTTGCAGGGATCTGTGGGGTTTTCTGGGACCAGTGAGGGCTTATGGAGGGGAAGCTCCATGTGGGGAGGGAGAGGACTTTGCCACTCAGCTCACTGGCAGGATTAAAAATAAACCAAACTTGTTTCAGTGTGTTTATCCAGATCATACCAGCAATGAGAGAACCTGCACCCCAAAGGCAGGCACCCTGAGGCTCCCACAGGGTTACAGAGGTGTTCTCAGGATCACAAAAGTTGATCCTGGCTGTACTCACTGCAGGTGTGATGTGGGATGGTTTCGCCATGGCACTGGAGTTCCATGGGAAGCAGGTGACATCCAGAGGGGTATTTATGCTCTCATCCCACAGCTGGGGTTATATGGGGAATGTGTGCCCCATGTTTCAGGATTTGTTTTGTATTTGGGAGTGATGACATTGCAGAAGGGCTGCAGTCAATTATATCCTTGTGGGCAACAGAGAAGGGCCTGTGTCAATCTGGGCAGCAGCTTTAAGCATTAAAACAACCCTGCATTGCCACCTCTTCCTTCCCCTGGCTGTTCAGTGGAGCACCCCTCAAAATGCCTTCAGCAAAACTCTGAACTATGGAACACTGGCCAAAATAGGTCAGAGCTCATGGGAGCTGAACCAGCAGCTTTCATGTGCAGCTAAACTTGAACAGCCTGCTCTGCAGTTACTCCAGTGGAGAATCATCATTAGAAACAGGCAGATGTATCTAAACAGGTAAATGTGAGCATCCAGAGAAATACTTCAGGCTAAATGCTCCTGTGGTCCCACTCACTGTATGGAATGGGGCAGGGATATGACACATGTATTTCCAGAAGTCAGGTTATGCTGAGCTCCACTTTCTGCACTGCACAGTAACTCTATTAAATACTTACAAATAGCATCTGAATATGCACTTAAAATATAGTAATGTCACCTCCAGAAGCAGAGACCCCTAGGATCTGGTTTCCCTGTTTGACTGGGGACCTTTTCCTTGCTCTTCTCTTTCTTTCCAGACTCAAGTTCTTATTTTCTTTCCAGAAGCATCATTCAGATTAGGTAACTGTGCACCATGTCTCTGCCATAATATGAAAGCTCTGTAATTGCAGAGTTTCAGATCACCACTTCTGAGCAAGTTTTGGGTATTTTCAATTCCTTCGGGTGATGTAATAGAAAATAAAGAAAATATCTGCTGAAACCCAACTTGCCACCAGCATCCGTGGTGATAAAACGTTTTTGTGGGTTGGTGGAGATGAGTCTGAGTATGGAAAACTGCATCTTTGGATTTCTTGATTTGAGGAATTTAATCATGTTTATCAATACGTTCTGACATGTATATTAATGCTTAGCATATTCTTATGGGCACTGGAGTAAGCTGGGTAAGTACAGTCCTCCAGCATCTCAAGACTGTCATTAATTCCTTGTGAATTTCTTGTGGAAGATGTTTGCTCCCCGTTTTCCCTCGCCAGGGAGGGTTCGCGGTCGCGCTGCCGTGCGCGGCTCATCCCTCGTCCAGCTGTTGCCATCTGGTGGCCGCGGGGCCGAGCTGGGATCCAGCGGGAACGTGTGCCGTGAGGTAAGCGGGGAAATCTGGGAACGAACGCGTGGCAAACTCACAAATGTTTGTCTACCATCTGCTTTACAGTGCTGCCATAATCTACTGCCGCCAGCAATGCCATTTTCCCGATACAAAAACGCATTTAAAAAGGAATATACTGCATTTGAAAACTGAAGCTAAAACTGCTGGACAGTACTATTATTTTCAAGTTTTCGTTCCTTTAATTTCCCTGATGTACTCTCTAACCTTTCTTTGTTCTTTTGATTAGTTTTGCTTCTGCTTCTCAGCACCTCCACCCTCCCACAGGCCCTGTTGTCCGTGTGTCTGCTGGAGCCTCTGGCACCGGCTCTCTTCCATGGGGCACTGCCTCTCTGCACACAATTCTGTGACAGAAATTCCACTTAACACCTTGTATTCCTCACTCTGTCCAAAGTATCAGGTGTCCTGCTCACCTTGCCCATGTCTGTGCAGTGCCACTCTGCCAAAGCACCCCACCTGCAGGAATATTGGTTCACAGCTGGCTTCCCGTGGGCAGGAGCCCTTGCAGGGCTCATTCCTCACACATGGATGGAAGGAGCCGTGCCCTACATCCAGCAAGCAGGGAGTTTGCTGCTTTCCAATCCGTCTGAATGAGGCTGGTCTGCCATTACTACAGGGGAAGGTGGGTTTGTGTGAAGGATGAGGAGAGGGCTCATAAAAACAAGCTGAAAAGGCTGGAGTCAAGATAGATGTTAAAAGGGATTTTTGTGTGGGAAAGAAACGTTTGTCAAAAAATCCACTGAATACTCTGAAGGAAAAAAGAAAAATACCCATCCTAGCAACTGATCAAATTCAGGCATTCAGTGTGGCTCAGCCCCTTCCCTTTGCTTTTTCACCTCGGTCGTGATGGGTCACATTCCCTAGCTGAACAACAAGCAGCATTCACTTCTCTATCCATATTTAACTGCAGTAGCTCAGGTTGCCTCGGGTTTTTTGCGAGGTAAAAGGCTTTGTGTCCCTGCCAGGGAACATTTCTCAGAGCCAGGCCGCTGCTCCCCAAAGGCCTTCCACAAATACCTGCTCCTTCCTCTTCCGACACGAGCAATGACTCCCAGCCAGCGGGGGAGGCTGCAAGAGCCACAACCCCTTGTGGGGCTGCAGCCTCGCTGGGGCCCCCACGCCCTCTGCACCCTGCCAGCCCCAAGGGACAGCCCTGTCAGGACAGACAGACAGACAGACACCTCTGCTAGCCGAGAGCTGTCGTGTGCCAGAGTGTGGAAACACTCATCCATCTTGGAGCCCTGCTGGGATGGGCAGGAATGCTTTGGGACCCCGAGAGGATCCGGAGGGCCCTGCTCAGCATTCCCACAATGCCTCCATGCAATTGTATCTCCACGGCAGCTGCCGGCCTGGGATAAAGGCTGGGAGCACTCAGACGCTGGTTTGAAACAAGATCTCTGCAACAATGGGAGCTGCTGGCCAGGAACAAGGCCGGAGTTATGTAGATGGAGAGTTTGAACTGGAGGAGGAATGTAAAGGCAGAGGCTGGATGCTTACTGGAGGGAGGTGGGTGAGGGAAAGTGATTAAAAAATAATTAAAATAATAATAAAGGCATTCAGCATGAAACACCAAGCCAGCTGGCAGACAGCACCAAGGACATACAGCAGAAATAGAAAATACCTCTGGTGTCACCCAGAGGCAAAGCTAGGGAAGGGTTTTGTGGGGAATGTTTTCTGGAAAAGGGAATTTGGAACACAGTGTAAGAATGGCTGTGGCAGGTCACCCAGAGCCATGTCCTATCTCCACATGGCAGCTGCCTGAGAAAAATGCAAGAACACCATTAGCATTTGGCAACCTACCCCCAGGACACCACCCCAGAGTCAGTGACAGACTTCTTAGGGGGAGTGTGTGTATGTGTGCATTCAATAGTATAAAATTATTTGGCAGGCTATTTTTTCTGAACAGGGATAGACCTCTGCAAACAGACAGTCCTGTGGCCCCCAACTCCACTGCAGACATGGTCTGTGAAGAGCTGTCTTGGTTAAGCTGGACAACTCTAATTTTACCTCAATATCCTCTACTTTTTATCATGGGGACAGCAAGTGAATCCAAATCCGCCTTCTCCAGACCGTTTGGGATTTTACAGACCCTACCAAAGCTCTCTGTCTTGCTTTCAGACTGATGGCTCATACTCTCTATCTGTTCCAGGTACAGAAGCCAATTTGCACTGTGGATGTTGTTGTCACTTTCTCCTGGGCCTCTTCCAAGACTTTTGAAACCAGATGACCTGAACTGCAAAGAACATTCACAGATTTATAGTGGCACCTTTCCTTTTTGCTTCATCTCCTGTCCTGGAAACTGATGGACTGGCTTTTCTCATGCTGCTGAACACTTCAGAGGACTCTCTCTCTCAAGGTTTTGTTCCTGAGTGATATTGTTGAGCTCAGAGTAGATAATCACGTATATATGAGGTAGATAGTTGTGTGTATATAAGTGTGTGCAGTATATATATTTGTGCTCAGTTACTTACAGATAATTCTTTCTTAGTTTATTTGTGTGTGTATTTGTTTAGTAAGTCACAGACCACATTGATACTTAGAAAAAAAATGACCTTCTGTAAACCACAGAGGATATTTGATGGGTAAAGCACACTGTGCTCCCATTTCCAGCCCGGTGGCCCTCAGCTGTCACTCCCAGAACAGGTGCTGTAAACCAACACCCTGCTGGGTGTGCTTTGGCAGCACAGCCCCCTCTGAAGAGACTGAGTGCTTTGTGCGCGCCTCCATCTGTATGACTGTGGCAAGAGGATGATGAAGGTCCATTGTGTGCTCCTCCTCCTCATCTGCTCAGGTAAGGTGTTCCAGCCATTGCCTTGAAGGGGGGGTGTCTCCTTCCAGGGCTCTGCATGTACATCAGCACGAGCAAGGATGTATTCCAGGAGGGGCCTGTCCCACTGGTAAGGTTTTATGAACACACCCAATCATTTAAAAGAAAGCTTTGGAGTGCATTAGTAGCAGCTCAGATATTTGTAATTTCAGGCACCAGATATTTTGAGCGGAGAAGTTTGTGTTTAATTGGTTTTGTCTCTGCAATCTTTTTCTCATGCTCCTGTTTACCTTAGTGCTACCTGTATTTCAAAATATGTGAAAGGATCTAGTAAGCATGACTTGGAACGGGAAAAATCGTTGCAAGAAGTTTCATTAAGTTGTGGGGTGACTGACAAGGAGGTAGAATTGATTGGCAGCTGCATGTGTTGTACTGAGCTAATTCTTTTTGAACTGTCCCTTAAAAGAATAAATATTTGTAATCCTAAAAGGTTTTCAGAAAATTCAAGCAGTATACAAAATTCCTACCAAGCTACACCAGAAGGGAACAAATGTGAAAGGATTTTAATTGCGTTAATAAAGCATAGAGCTTCAATTAGATGGGTTGTTGTAATCATAACTTAAACATTGAAAGATGCCTCCTGCCTACCCTCACTCAGCCTCCTGGCAGAGGAAGCAAACAGTGTCTGTCTGCAACAGACAGCTTTTCTGATTGGCATCCAAGTACTTTAATATAATCTCATGGCAGGACAAGGCCAAGGCAGAACCCTTGGCAATCTCAGCTCAGCTATGTAGAAGAAGTTGATGAAAAGTCAGTTAGGAAACCAGCAGAAATCCTAGCTTAGGTTGGAGTCAGCAGCAAAATTCTTGTTGACTTCTGTGGTCCAGGATTCAACAGAGAGTGGGAGACAAGGGTGCAATCTGCCAAAAATGCTTGCAGTGAGGCTCAACTCTTCTGTTCCCTCTCACCACCTTCAAGAGGGGAGACACAAAAACATCCCCAGGCACCCCTCCCATTTGCTTTCTCCCCTGTACCAGCGAAGCAGCTACAATCTGAGGTCATTGTGTGCCTGCTACAATCTGAGGTCATTGTGTGCCTGCTCCCCCTGCCCCAGGCTCTCTGGAGGCAGGGCCCATCTGTTCCCAGTGCTCTTGCTTCTTGGCACGGCAATGCCATGCACAGCACTGTGAAGGCTCCACTGGAACGGGGTTGTTCCCTGCCATTTTCACCTGGGAAATTTTTCTTTCAAGGCTCTTTGGCACAGTACAGCCAAGTCATGCTGGGCAGCCTGTGGGCAGAGCTGGCCATGGACCCACCCCACACAGTGAGTGGTTTCCTTCTCTCACCACCTGCACAACCCAAGCAACTCCCATTGCAGAGAGGAGCTCTTGTTCCACTTAGACTGCAGATGCAAGGAGTGGGGATGGTGATGCCTTCTCCATGACTGGTGTGCTTGGCCCTCACCTTTAATGTCAGTGTCACAGAAGGGCTGTGGGGTTGAAGGTGGAAAAGGCAACATTAGAAACCCCTGAGACTGGATATTTTCGGTGTTTACCTGCCCATAAGTACTGCATGTTAGCACAGTTTCAGGCTGGAAGACTCCTGATGTTCAGTCTGATGTTCATGATCCTGCCTGTTTGCATTTGTTCATCTCCTGGTGGGAGGCCACTGTCACAGGGAGGACTTGGTGTCATCCCCCACCAGCAGCTTGCCTGGCAGCGTTTCCTCAGTGCCAGCCTCAGACCGATGGTGCTGTAGCCTGTTCCCTGCCCCTCCTGACTGTCGTTGTCCTTTCTGGCTGTTGTGCAGCTGGGCTGGCCCTGGGCTATGAGGACGAGACCCGCCTGGTGGAGGACTTGTTCAGTAACTACAACAAGGTGGTGCGGCCCGTGGAGGACCATCGCGACGCCGTGGTCGTCACCGTGGGGCTGCAGCTCATCCAGCTCATCAGCGTGGTATGCTGGGACACGGGTAGTGTTGAGTCACTGCCTCATGTGATACTGGCAAATGGTGGTGTTTTTCTAAGGAAACAATTTTCATCCTTTAATCCTGATGCTTGCTGATACTGCCTGATTTTTTTTTTTCATCCCTTTCCTTTTTTTTAAGGATGAAGTAAATCAGATTGTGACAACCAATGTGCGCCTGAAACAGGTAACTCTAAATATTCTTAAGCATTTCATCTAATTCAAATAAATGCACTCAACACAGTCAGGAATTGACTACACTCTCATACCTTCAGGGGCAGCCTGGAGAGGTGGGTCAGACAGTAGAGCATTTCTTCTTACTGAGATCTAAAGATTAAAGTGCTCTAGATGCTAAGAGTTTTAAGAAAAGCATTTGGGGTTGTATTTCAAACAGTAGGCTTCTGATATCTTTGTGTTATTTTCTTTTGGGGTTTTTGTTTTTTTTTTAATAAGCTTCTTAAACCAAAGTATAAGTTAATGTAAGAAATGAGCTGGGGGTCCCACTCCCACATGTTTATGCTTACCTGCATGTCCCAAAGCAAGGGAGGAGCTGTTTCTGGGAAGTACTCAAACTAACCCCACTGCTGGGAGGGGCTCTCAGGGACCGAAATCTTCCCTCTTTAGCAATGGACAGACGTCAACCTCAGATGGAATCCAGACAACTACGGTGGCGTAAAAAAAATCCGCATCCCCTCAGACGATATCTGGCGGCCAGACCTTGTTCTTTACAACAAGTAAGGGGTGCCAGCTGCTCAGGGAGGGAGGAGGGAGGAGCTCTGCCTTGTGGCACCACCTTGGTGGGACAGTTTTCCCATGACATCTGTTCCAGTGGGTACAATTCCTCAGAGGAAGCCTCTCCAGGAGCAGGCACTGGGGAGTCATTTGACCCACAGCCAGAGAAATCCTTTTGTGACTCTGCTGATTATGCTGCCCATATTGCTTTCAATGTCCTTGTTCCTTCCGCAGTGCAGACGGGGATTTTGCTATTGTAAAATACACCAAAGTCCTTCTGGAGCACACAGGTCGGATCACCTGGACGCCACCAGCCATTTTTAAGAGTTACTGTGAAATCATAGTCACACATTTCCCGTTTGACCAGCAGAACTGCAGCATGAAGTTGGGAACTTGGACATACGATGGCACAATGGTTGTTATTAACCCGGTAAGCAAGGAGTCTGTAATTGGGAAAAACAGCAAAGACCTGTAGGTGTTTTTTTAAGAGAAATCTCAGATTTAGAATGGAATATGACCTAGTTCTGACAGGAAAAACAAGAAGACCCTACATGTAAAAGAGAAAATTCTCATTTGTAGATCTAACACAAGATTTCCTGGTTTGGCTCCTAAATTCTTCTTACATATTATTCCTGTGCCCTAACAGTCTCCTGTCTGTCCTCTGGCAGCTTTGCACCACTTTTTATGGTGCTGCCTGTTCTACTTCTGTTTGTTTCCTTGGGTTTAGAGTTTTTTTGAGGGGGTATATTTTCTCTGCTCATAACTTTCCATTGCCAAAGACTCCTTCCCTGTCCCCACAGGTATGTCTCCTACCTGTCATATTTTTTCAGTCTACTATCCCTGAATGTTTCTGTAGAATATTCAGGTCAATGCTGTGTAGAGGCTGGTATTCTAAGGAAAAATAACATAGATGAGAGTTTTTTACTCGCAAAAAACCCCCACAAAGTGCATGAGTTATTTGGAATCCCGTTCCTGAGCCAAACCTGCTAAGTTTTGATTTGGCTCAGAATACCTGGTGCTAAGAATTTGCTGGGGTGTTTTGCTGCCAGGAGAGCGATCGTCCAGACCTCAGTAACTTCATGGAGAGCGGGGAGTGGGTGATGAAGGATTACCGTGGCTGGAAGCACTGGGTTTACTACGCCTGCTGCCCTGACACGCCCTACCTGGACATCACCTACCACTTCCTCATGCAGCGCCTGCCCCTCTACTTCATTGTCAACGTCATCATCCCCTGCCTGCTCTTCTCCTTTCTAACAGGGCTCGTTTTCTACCTACCCACAGATTCAGGTATGTAGATTCATTCATTCTACTTCCATAGAAATTACTCTTCTTCTCTAAGAAATTCCTGAGGAATTCCCAGTATTTGAAACCACCAGCCAACTTGAATGCCAGTGCATACTAAAACTGGGCATTTCCACTGAAAGTAATGGCTTTAAATATTCTGCAAAGAAAGGATAAGTGCTGAAAACTGAAACTGTTGATAGAAATAAACTGGGGTGCTTTCCCACAGAAATTGCTGACTAGCTATCCAGTTAACTTCTGCAAACTAAAGATTTAGCTGGATAATTTTTATGTTTTGCCATAGGTAGTCAGTATGTCAGTATGTCCAGCAGTAAAATGAGCACACAGGGGTGACAGAGGCCCTTTTGCATTGTGTCAGAGCAGAGAGCTCGTTACCTGTTCACACACACGTCACCTCCTGTGACACAGAGTAATCCTGACCTGTTCTGGCCTCCTTTGTCTCTGCTGAGCCACTCATGCTCCCTGCAACCATTTCATCTGCTTCATTCTTTTTGCCTTCTGTCAGCTTTTCACACCACTTAATTGCAGTGTATGCCCCTTCTTATTAAATACTTGATGCATTTTTTCAAGTGGAAAACTTTCTACAAAGTTGAACTGGATTTTAAAAAAATGTGTGAATAATGTTTTGTAATTCATTTTTGACACCTTCCACATGCATAGCAACTGACCTGATGTCAGATGTGATTTTAGTCTGCTCTCTCAGCCCAGAGACAGAGAGTAAGGGAAGCAAACCCTCAGGAAGCTGTGGAGCAAGCACAAAGGTGCATATGCTGCATTGTTCAAAATGCAGAGCCCACCAAATGCTCCTAGCAAGTAAAAATATTCAGCACCCACCCACACCTCAGCCCAGTCATTCCTGGGAATTCCCACCTTAGTGCTGGAGCAGATGCTGTTAGGCTCTCAGGTTTGCCAAGCCTACTTCTGCTTTGGATGCTGGCAGAGATGATGGCCCTGCAAATGCACACAGGTGTTTGTGTGAACAGCTCTTACCCATCCTGCTTCTCAAATCAATGCTCTCTGTACTGAATGATAGGAGCAGCAATGATTTTGGGGGTCTGGCTTTTTTATGACAGGTGAGAAAATGACCCTCAGCATCTCTGTCCTGCTGTCCCTGACTGTGTTCCTGCTGGTCATCGTGGAGCTGATTCCCTCCACCTCCAGCGCAGTGCCTCTGATTGGCAAGTACATGCTGTTCACCATGGTGTTTGTCATCGCCTCGATCATCATCACCGTCATCGTCATCAACACCCACCACCGCTCCCCCAGCACGCACACCATGCCCCCCTGGGTCAGGAAGGTGAGCTCTGTGCCTTGGTTTCACCTGCTGCTTTCACCAAATGCTCCAGATTTTATTGGCAGGTCTTCTAATAAAAGTCAAAAAGAATTGGGGAGGTAAACGCATCACATTAAAGAGCACAAGAGCCAGTGTTTACTGCTTAGCTGTGTGTAAAGTCAGCAAGATTGCTAAAGTGCTCCTTGAGTTAACAAAATTGTGCACTGGGGTAGATCCTTGCAGGGAACATATGAGACAAAACATGGGCAGCTAAAGGTAGGGAATGGGAAAAGAAAATGTCCATCTGGACTCGAATTATGTATCCTGGCCTAATTCTCCACTGACTGCAAGGCACTGCTGCCTGCCAGTGACCAGCCACCAGCCTGCATGAGTGCAGAGCACAAAGGCCACTGGGAATACCTGAGTTCAGCATCCCATTTTGCAAAAAATGGTTTAGCAAAAGCTAAAAAATCTTCTCTGTAGTTTTCCAGTATAGAGTTGCTCTGCAGCCCTTGGGAGATCCTTGCACAGGAGTCTAAATGGTAATCAGATTGGTTTTCTGTCATTACAAGTTCTTTGCCAGGGAGACAGTATCAAAGACCATCTGATTTATTCGGTAATCCTTGCTGTTTTGAAGCCTGCCTGGGTTCATACTAAACCATGACACGAAAGGAGGTTTTTCTGTGTATTTCTAATTATGTTTTTAAGGTTACAGCTTATATTAGATTCCCTCTGCAGCATAAACAACCCCTGCAGAAGGGAAACTTCAACAGGAAACGCTGCATGTGCTTAACATTGCTCTGGCAGCAAATCTCTTACTGTAAACCTTATATGCCGGTATAGCAAACATTCATAATAGCAAAATCAAACCTAAGTAGCCAAAAGAGTTTCTTTGCAGTCCATTCTTCAAATCAGATTTGTAGGCAATATGATCCAAGTTAGATGGGATGGCTGGAGCTCTGTCAGCCCGTGCCAGCTGAGGATGTGCTCTGTGGCATCACCCTCTGCTTCAGGTGTGGATGCTGGGTGTAGGGCAGGGGGATGGCTGGCAGCAAACACGCCGCAGGCCTGCGGGGACTCCCTCTGCCCCGGGACACGAGGTGACAAAAGCCCCGGTGTGACTGAGGCGTGGGCTGTGACACAGTCTGAGAGGGAATGTGCAGCAGCCCCAGCACGGGAAGCATCGGGGAGGGGAGAGGCTGGTCTTTGTTCAGCACAGCTGCAGCTGTAGCACAGCCCCACAGAGCAGCCACCGTCATCTTCTCCCTTTGTTCGCAGATCTTTATTGACACCATCCCAAATGTCATGTTTTTCTCTACAATGAAACGACCATCAAGAGACAAACAAGACAAAAATATTTTTTCAGAAGATATTGATATTTCTGACATTTCTGGGAAGTCAGGTTCTGTGCCTGTCAATTTCTACTCCCCGCTTACCAAAAACCCAGATGTGAAAAATGCTATAGAGGGAATCAAATACATTGCAGAAACGATGAAATCGGACCAAGAAGCCAGTAATGTAAGGCTTTTTTTTTTCAATTTTGTGCATGATTCATTTCCAGCTTTCAGTTTGCTACATCTTACTTTTTTGGCAAAATATCCCTGCCTTACAAAAACATTCCAAGCCTTGGTTTGGCTCCAGTAGTGGATGGTCTTCTCCCCTTAAGGGAGTCAACAAGGAGCAACAAATAATTGTCACAGATGTTAATTGAATATTGGCTTCCCAAAATAATAGAAAAGGAAAAAGTGTCAGTGCCAAGATTTTCTTATGTGATATGTGAAGCCATAGAGATGGAGTGTCTGTGAGTAGGAAACCAGTTTCAACAATTATAAGCAAGTTCCAAAACACATTTCTTCGGTCTCCCACTCAGGCATCTTGCCCCTGTAGTAAGTAAGATCCTGCTGTTTTTGAAAACCCAGGAAGCAAGGCAAACTCCAAAAGCCTAGTAGTGCTTTCTGAGAAGTGTTAAATGTAACTTACAAATTATATTTCCAATTTTGATAAGGTTTTGTTTTATTCCTGAATACAAGTAGTCCCTCCAAATGAAGTATGTTATGAGCTACTCTGATTACTGACTTTTTCCACATTGCAAGCCAAAGGAAGGATAAAAGCATATAGTCACACATGGCAGTGTTCCCTAGGAAAACCTAGCTCTGCCTCCTTCTAGCACATTCAGTACAATTAACCCCTCTTTTATGTCAGCTTTCACAGCTCACGCAGATTTTGCAAGGCTAATTCAGTCCTGGTATTTCACCTTCCTAGGTGGTCATAGTCCTTTCCTGTTGAGCTGCAGGCTGGTCTGAAGGCAGGGGAGCTCTCTGAAAAAATAATTTGACTCACTCTCTTGAAAAGGAGGTGCTTCCTTGCCACCGACAGGATTTACACCACGGTGTTTGTTCCTGTGACCAAATTCCTGGAGCATGTGGAATGGCTCTGGCTGTAGTCTCATGTTCCCCGTGACTCCTTTGCCTCTCTGCAGACAAATTGTTGTCTTCAGCAGGGCTGGCATGGCTTCAACATCTCTGGGCTCCACTTCCTCCCTGGCTTACAAGGAGGGTCTTCAGGTTACCAGCAAACTCCCCCTCGGAAGTGGAGCCCAGCTGTTTGTGTCATCTGGGCACTAGTGATATATCACTTCCAGGGGGTTTCAAAAGTCAAGTTTCCTAAATAAACCAAAGGATCTGAAGGCTATCACTTCATTGCATTTGCTTCTGAACCACCTCAAAACAGTACTCATTGTCAGTGTCCTCTAGATAAATTACAGCAGCCTCTTCTACTTATGGCAGAACCAAGGCACAAGCAGAAGGTGCTTTAGGCCAGCACATGTCACTCCATCAGGTGGAGTTCCAGGGTGGAAATCACGAGCCCTGCTGTATTTGGGGCCTTGCACTCTGCATGTTCTTACTGTGCTGGGTTCCCAGTGAAAAGGTACAGAGCAAGTGGCTCATGGTGTCCCACAACTAGAAAAAAGACTAATGGAGCTACCAAGAAGGTTTTACAAGGCATTAGAGTGTATGGAAAGCAGGGGTTATGGTTAAATTATTAGGAATTGCCTAGATATCTCATGAGAAAAAAAAAAAGCAAGGGAAAAACAAAAGTCATTTGAGTCAAACTAAGCATTTTGCTTTCAAGATTTTAAACTTTCTTTCAGAAGCAACAATTGGCCTAATAAGCTTTTCAACATTTTTTTTAATGAAATTGTTCAGCAAATTGCCAGGGTTTCTGGTTAGTTTAGTGTTGGAACTTGTATTTCTAGGTTGTTTAGGCTTTCTTAACCACTGACCTGCTTTTGAGAAGAAAATGAGCATTTTTTGCATAGCAATAATGGCACTTAGGGAAGAGTCTTCCCCTTGTTCAAGATAGTAAATTACGAGAATTCTGTAACAAACTCTGCAGAGATCTTACCATCTCCTTTGTTTCTTTCCCAGGCTGCAGAAGAATGGAAGTTTGTTGCAATGGTGCTTGATCATCTCCTCCTTGGCATATTTATGCTAGTTTGTTTTATAGGAACATTAGCTGTATTTGCTGGTCGCCTTATTGAATTAAATCAGCAAGGATGAACGTCAGCTGGAAACTATTTGCTGCCCTGAACATCTGAAAGCACCATGACCATCAGAATCTGGCCAGCCTCTGAAAGGTTCACTGACAGCAATCAGTAACCACTGGGAAAGAGCAGGGATAATAAAACATAAGGCCCCATACTTAGCACTTCTGAGCCGCTGCTCAGTAGCATTTAACTGCCAAAAAGAAACACTTGCATTAGTGGTAAAAGTGAATGGCTGTCAGCCAGGTTTTGATCTGTTTTACCCTTTATTAAAAATGTTAATGTATAATAAGGTTGTCTGACTTTGTAAGCAACAGATACTATTCCAGTGAAGTCAATAGCAGTGTAATAAGCTTTAGCTGAGCTGTAAATCTGTATCCAACTTTGGCGTTCAAGCTGGTTTTAATATCTACTCTGTGGCTTTTGTATTAGCAGAGTCACTCCTCTGATAACACTAGATACAACCGTCAGAAATATCTCAAACTCCATGCTTAAGCACTTGATTTTCATGCACAAATCTGAACTGACTGACTGTCATGCAGGACTCTACCCACAGAATCTCTTGCTGCAGCAAAGGGGAGAGTCTTTTCTTTACAGTGGGAAGGATCCAGCCTGTTTCTAGAATAATCTCCACATTCAGCCTACTCTGCTCTTGGAAGGTTGGTTTCCACACTGCACCTTCGACCTTGAGGGTGTTTATTAAACACAATTCTCTGTTTCCGAAGCTGTCCCCTGCCCCGCTGGTCCGGCTGCGGCTCCCGGCCGTGCCCGAGCGCGGCCCGCTAACGGGAGCGCTCCTCCCGGAGCCGCGCCGGGAGCGGCCCCGCTCCGCTCAAAACTTGAGCAGCAGCTCGCTCTGGTGGCCACAGCAAAGCACTGCTGCCTCTGCCTCTGCCTGGCACCGCCAGACTTAGTTTACTCCGCATGCGACACAAGCAAGGAGCCTCTCTGCGTTCAAATGATGCCGTGTGGCAATACCAGCAGCGCTGCCTCTTCTTCTCAAACATAAATAAGGATAGGTGGGGCAACTGCGACAAGTTACTCATCTTTTCCAGCTGGCTGTCCAAGCCAAGAGCACTACTTTGCTAACAGCTGTAAACAATTTAGTAAAATTATTCGTATTATGTTAAAACGTGTCCTGCCTGCAGAGGACAGGCATTAGAAGCACTAGAGGGAAATGAGGCACTTGAGCAACACTCCCAGCATTGCGTAGTATTTGCTGGACAATGTTTTGGTGAGCTGCAGTCCTGAGCAAACAGTGTGTCTGGGGTGATGGATCACTTGTAGCACTCTGCTCCCCTCTTATGGTTTAAAGGATGGTAATCTTTGCCTCCCTGGATGATCATTAACCCTGCAAGCGAGGGCCAAAGATGCATTGCTGGGCGCCACCTCTGCTGCCAGAGGGAATGTTCACTGCAGCTGGGTTTTGCTCCGGTGGGAGCTCCCAGCTCCCAGCAGCTCCCTGCTCAGACGAGCTAAGCTGCAGCCTAATGGTGCCCGGACCTTAATTTGAGAGCCTCTGATTGGCACTGAAATTGACAGAACAATCCTCTTAGAGCAGCAGGTAGTTGAATCTTAGCATTAAAAATAAACACCAAGTAACAAGATTCATGATGAGCACCTACAGTATCTTTGTTCAGCTTTCCCAAGGCAGATCTGAGTCTTGGCCTCCCAATTCCCCCAATCTGTGTGCCAGAGTCAGTGTGTGCACGGGTGTGCCTGCCTGCCTGCCTGCTTCTCCAGCTCTCCTTATACACAGCTAGGTACCAGTGCCTTCCTTCCACTTCCTCAGAAAAAGGTTTGAAACTATTTATTCAAAAATTGTCATTTATGATGGTTTGACCTGTTTTACAGGCACAGCAAATCTTCTGCCTTTATGTCACTTTGACTCTTGATGAACTAGTTGTGTCTCAAAAGATGTGACAGCAGGCAAAAATAAATGCTAACAACTTCCCTTCTTAAGTTGAAGATTCCAGGCATTGTACTCTGACTCTCCAAACAGTTCTCCAAGAATCAAATAAGTACATGTTTTTCTTTTTTTTCTTTTTTTCTTTTTTCTTTTTTTTTTTTTTTTTTTGCTTTGCTTTGAATACTTGGACTGTACCAGTCTCTGTTTTCTCTTCCTTGATCACCTTTATGATACATTTTTCTTGCATACCATTAAGATCCCCTGTTACCAGTATCCATCCACTGACAGAATAACCTTACCTACCTGCAGACTACCTCTTCTCAATGATACTGTCCTTTCAATGTCAGCCCCTGCTGAAATAGTCTCTTTGGAGCTTGTAAATGTTCTGTCACAGACACAGAAAATCTGCTGCACACATGTAAGTATGTATAGTCTAATGATTTCTCGTTTACAGCTCTGTAGCCCCCCCTTGCAACCTCAGCACAAACTCTCTCCTACACGGGTTGGATCTGCAGCCCCAGGGAGATGACCCTGAGTAATTGCAACCCACGCATGCATCTCTGCTGCCTCATTGCCTTAAACAGGCATAGTTCAGCCTGGAGCTTCAACTTACAAATCCCATGATAAGCAAAGCAAGAAACAGGCATCACACATTGTTAAATTTCTCTAATAAGTATAAAAAATAATGACAAGTAAGCATCATGGTGCTGAAGTAAGCAGACCTCACTTAAATGAAAGCAGACATGGGGCATCTCAGTGGGAAGGTGTTGCTTTTGTAGTGATAGCACCTGGAGCAGTTAACTGCCATCTTCTTGCTACTAAAGCTGCTTTAGTTCACTTTGAGCTTGTTGATAACACCATATTTATGTCCTTAGTAGAACAGGTTCCTGGAATGGCTCCATCTTTTTCAGTTTGGTTCTCTTTCCAGTTTTCAAACCATTTGGCAGTTAACTTTCCCCTTCCCATCCATTTAGCTGACCTTAGCTACTCTGTACTGTGCCATGGATATGTTGCTCTCAGAGATGCAGTCACTGCCAAATCTCTTTCCTCTTTGGCACTTGTGCTTTTTGGGAGACCTGACTCTTCTGAGAGGGTTATTTGAATTTTCACAGTCTCTTATCTTGCACCAGCTCCAAGGGAGTGGTTTCACCTCTGCATGAGTCTGTAATCAGAACAGGCTGCTGCTCTCCATCCTCACCAGACAGCTGAGCTGAACTTGATGTCCTTATTCTGTCTCTTCAGCCAGTTGGATCTCGGCTCTGTAAAATGTAGTTGAGCAGATCAAGAGAGAGAACAGGAAAATGACACTTACTGAACTCCAAGCACTTGACTATGAGCTCGTGTGCCAGGTGTGACCATTCATCTGTCACCAGTGCTTGGCTCCCACAGCCTCCTTCAGTTTGAGAGTTTTTTAAAAATCAGATTATTGTTTCAGGCAATTGTAAGACAGTTTAAGTACTGCTTTTTTTTTTTCTCCAGGATATAAGTTGCTGCCAACCTCCTTGCTGTGGCAGTCTCCCCAGAGAAGTGTGAAAGCAGTGTGAGTTTCATCAGGCTGCTGACTCAGCAGTTCCTGTTTCCACAGCTGAGGCAAGCCACAGCGGGTAGGGACAGCAGGGCAGGAGGGAATGTGCAACACAGGACCCACACCAATGCATAAACACTGTGCTGCTGCTGGAGACAGGGAGTACCTTACCTCCCTGAAAGGTTTGTTTTCTGTTACGGGGACAGGCAAGATATCACCTTCAAAGTCACTGATAGTTGAGCACATCAGGAATGCTTTTGACTTTGGACACTTCTAGAAGGTTGCTGTCCTTGGCTCCAGTCACAAGACCTCACATTTTCATTTGTTTACTAGAGCTAGATAAATTCCAGCACAGCCTCCAGGCCCCTAGGCATGCTGCTGGCAATAAATTACCTCTCTCTGTTCTTAAAAATGGTGAATTCGATACAAAGTCTCCCAAGCTTCTGTCACCTGAAGGTTGCACAGACACTGACTTCTAACAGAGCTCTAGAGCACTTATCTCTTTCTGAAATTCAAATACCAAATACAGAAAAAGCAAAATGATCACACTTCAGTCACAATAAAGTCTAAGAGACTGACACAGCTATGGCAAAGAGCCAACCTGTAGAGAAGCATTTTCAGCTAACCAATGCCCACTTGTGAGAGCCGTGCTGAGTCCTGCTAGCTGCAGGTGGGTTATCTACAGCAAGGACAGGACAATTTTACTTGTTACCACACAACAGGCCAGCCTGACCAGCAGGCAGAAGTCCAAAGGAGTTTGTAGGCTACTGCATCACAGCAATGATGGATCACTCAGTGGATTCCCCAGAAAGGGACAATTCTTTCCTAGCAAAGGTTGTCACCATTTCCTGTCATCCCAGCACAGATCTCCCGTTGCAGCGCATCTTCACAGCTTCTAAAAGCCGAGCAGATCTGTATCAGTGTATCTATTTATCCCATATGGAGCCTGGATTAAACACATTACATGGTATTTCCCCAGCATGTAGATCAGAGGAAGCTGTTTGCCTCTATGTGACTTTTCAGCTAACCAATGACCCAAATGCAGTTTGCCCTGCTGAGGAACCTCATGTGGATCTGTGACCCTCTTAAGAGAGCTTTGGGACTGCAAAGACAGTAAACACAGAGTACCTGCAGTTTTACTATTTGTGAGAACTGAAATTTTTGCTTGCAAGCTAATCTACATTGTATGGGTCAGAAAAGGGTACACATAAAAAATTGTACCAGTTTTTGTGTTTTCTTGTAGTGCTCCAAGCATACAATGACACAGAAACCGAGACATGACCTACATAAAAGCCTGGCAAGGTTTCCAGCCTTCCACTGAAGACAGCACAGTAATGCCATTGCTCTTATGACAGCGTGTCTCACCATAATGCTGTGCCTTCAGGCAACAGCTCATCTCCTGAGGAAAACATGAAAGTTGCAGCAGGTTAACTTAGCACACAGGTTACTCAGTCTTTGACCTTGCTGGGACATGTTGCTACAAGTGAATCAGGAGCATATTTCAGTTCTCCAGGACACCTGTCCCTAACATTTTTATTTTAGGTAACAGTGTTATATAGCTGCTGGACTGGACCATGTCTATGCATGGAGTAAACAGAAACCATCTGAACACCTCCAAAATGTGAAATCCTACAGAGATAAAAGCATGTGAGATCAATGTTGGCTCAAATAAACACTCAGGACACAGTTCTTGCACTTCAAACCTTGCTCCTATCTGCACAAGCTACTCCGTTACATACACTTGGGCATTTTTCCATCCAAAACCTCAGTGTTGGACATAAAAACATGAACAGAAATTTTGTTTCTAGAAAACTTGGTCAAACTGAGGGGGGAAAGGGAACAGAATCTATTGCTTGCCTGGCAAAGCAATCTCTGCATGAGTTAATTGAGGTATGAAACGCAAATACCTTCTGGGGCATCCTGCAGAGATGGGTAATTGACCTTCCCACATTTCAGTATACTGCAAACCTTAACAGGGAAAAAGCAAGCATCTCTTTCCCACTGTTTAATTACGTTTCTGCTCTACCGTGTGTCTCTGCCCGGTGCCTCGCTATTCCCCTAGCGCCACTACCCCTTCCCCGCTGGCTGCCATCGAGGCGAGTCGGGAGAACAAAACGTGTTGCGATCTCTGTGGGCAAGGGGAGCCCCGGGAGCAGGGCCGTGAGGAGCGGGGCTGTGCGAAGGGCCAGGCAATGCGGGAGAACAAAGCGTGTTCTGAACTCCGTGGGCAAGGGGAGCCCCGGGAGCAGGGCCGGGGAAACGGGGCTCTGCCGAGGGCCGGCAGTGCGGGCGGCACGGAGAGCAGGGCTGTGCCTGCCGTGAGGGCACGGCCGGGGAACAGGGGAGGCTCTGAACGGGATGTGTCCACGGCAGAGCCACCGAAGTCGCAGTCCAGGCCGTTGGCATCTGGGGACCCGAGCCCATCTCCTGTAAGGGGCTCTCTGTAACTCTGACTGCTGTGAACTCCCACTGGGCACGGGGCACACAAAGACGGGACAGGGCCATCACCGGCACCCGCGCCACCTGGGAAAGGCCATCCCACCGGGAGCCCGCTCCGCCGGCCGGGCCCAGGGGCACAGCGCGGGGGGCGGCCGGGCCCGGCCCGGCTCTGCGGGCCCGGGGCATGTACGGCGGCGCGGGCGGCGGGGGAGCGGCGCCCCAGAGCCGCGCCGTAGAGCCGCTTCCTGCCGCTATAAATAGCGCCCGGCCCAACATGTCCCGGCCGCCGCAGCGGCTGCAGCGCCGGCGGGACCCGCCGTGCCCTCCCGCCGCCTCGCCCGCACGGAGCGCGGTAAGGGGGCTGCGGGAGCCGCGCGGGGCTCCCGGCGGCCGGGGCGGGGGTCTCGGGGCGGGCAGGGCTCCAGCGGCCGCCGCGCTGGGGCGACTCGGCACCCCCGGCCCCGCGGGACGAGCGCCCTGAGGGTACAAGGGTCGGGAGCCGAGTCTCGCCTCGTGCCTGTCTGCTCTTTCTCTCTTTTCTTCCAGACTGCTCTGTTTCGGGCTGGACGCGTTCCTCCTGCCTCCTGAAGCCGTGCTGGCAGGCTGGGATCCCTCCCTGCTTCCCCTCCATTCCCGCTTCCCCCCGGTTGGGCGCGTTGCCCGCGGTGGCGGCTGGCGCTGCCTCGGGGCGCAGCCCCCGGCCCCTCGGACCGTGCCTGTGCCCGGGCTGCCGGGGACGGGGCTGCTGGCATCCCTGTCCATCTCTGCTGGCATCCCTGCCCATCTCTGCTGCTCTACAGCCACGGCTGTGAAATCCTGGCTGCCGTGTCAGGGTGGGGAGAGCCTCGCTGGGCTGCCGCTCACGCTGGAGCCGTGGCACACACCGCTGCCTGCACGTGTGGGCATCCTTGTTTAGTCACACACGCAGGTGTTCGCGTCGCAGCCTCCCTCAAGTGCTCTCATCTGCAGCGGATGTTGAGGTGCCCCGTGAGTTAGGCTGTATGGTGGAGTCAACAGAGCGGGTCTCTGCCCTCTGAGCTGGCTCTTGGGTGGGGGCTTTTTGAGAGGAATCAACTCAGGGAACCTCAAGTGACCAGTCTTCAAGTTTGAGCTTGCCTTGCACTTTGTTTGCCTCTGCTGCTTTAATGGCTGTGTTTCATCTTCTAATGAACACCTTCTGGAGCGCAGGGCTATGTGCCTTCTCAGAGAGTAGGTGTTCCTCAGCTACCACGTAGCCTGTTTGAGCAGCCTCTCTAAAACAAACGTGATAACAGCCCTTGTCGCTGGCACCAAGGTGTGTGTGTTCCCACCCAGGAACCCACCACGAGGTACTTCTGAATTACTCCTTTACTCCTGAAGTGTGTTCTCAAAGACAGGGTTGTAATAAGCAGCTGCTCTCAATTTTGACCTCCAGGAGATGGGCAGTGTGTTTTGCTTCTCATTCACACCCTTTTTAACTCTGTCAACCTCCCCCTCTGTTTCTTCTGTCCACAAGTTCTTCCAAGCCCAGTTTGGGAGGATGGTGCAGAGACCCAGGAGGCCACATAAAAAAGAAAAGGTCCTCTCAGAGCTTGGGAGCCTTGCCTTCAGTGAAGGTGGGAAGCATGGCAGTGCACTTTTTCAAGTGCTGTGAAGCACGAGGCCAGCTGAGCTGGCATGTACTTTCCCCTCTGCTGTGAGGGGAAGGAGCAGATGAGGAGGAAATACAGCTGTCCCAGAGCACTTCTGCCTTCTGTCCAGCCGGAGCATGTGAGGGGGGAGGCCCTACGCAGAGAGAGATTCAGGAAGAGAGTATGGGAGGGTGGGGAGGGGCGAGGGGAGGAGAGGAAAGCTACAAATGGGGAAGAAAAGCTCTTTATGTATGCGCAATTGTTATTTGAAGATCTGTTTAGCTAGAGCGAGAGCAAATAGCCTGAGATTATGAGATCTGTATTTCTTGAGTCCCTGTTATTGTTCCTCCAGAAAGTGCTGCTTTTCATTCCTCAAGTATTATGTGTGTCTTTCTGCCTCACTCTTTGAGGCTCTTCAGCATCCTCTGACCTCAAGCTGAGCAGGACGTTGCCCTTAGCTTCTGCCTGTAACGTGTAGTTCTCTGGGTTGTACATGAAATGATTATTCCCATAGTTGGTTAAGGCAAGTTTCTGAGGAATGTGAAGCCAGAGGCACGCCAGTGCTGTGGCTGGCCTTGACTGGAGTGCAGGCATTTTGGGACAGGGGCTGTGCCTGGAGGCTGTGGTTGCTCTGCGTGTTATCCTTGGCAGCTTAGGCATTCCTGCCTCTGCTCCTGTCCCTCCCACCCTTCTCTTCTGTCTTGTTGCTGCTCACCTGTTCCTCTGCCTGTGCTGCAGCTGCTTCAGCCTTTCCCAGTTATCTCTGGGGTTGTGCTGAGTAGCTCAGAAGTCTGAGTAAGACGAGAGCTGCTGCTCCCTTGTCTGTAGAGAAGTTCCCTCTCAGCCCTGTGCTGACTCTCTCCTGCATCCTACTTTGACATCCCTCGCCCCAACACTTGGGAATTAAAGCAGTTGAAACTCTCTAGCTATGTCCTAATTACTGCTGCTGCCTTGCTATTTCTTCTGAAATTGCACTTCCAGCTTTCTCCAGGATTAGTTTACTCTCTGAATGAGATCAGGTAGTAAGGTACAGTCTTTTGGGGCTGCATGGCTACAAGACCACTAAACCTTTTTTTTTTTTTCTTAATGGAAAACCCAGTTACCTACCCCAGCAGGGTTTCACTACTTTTACCTGTGTAGTACAGACAGAACTGAAAGTGTGCATCTAAGAAAAGGTATTGGCTGTGGAAAGAGCCATTTCCCACCTGTGATAACAGTATGATCTTTACATCTGATGACATGCAGACTCTGAAAAGGCCGCTGAGAAGCACGAGCAATGCTAATCCCTTTGGGAAGGGAGCATGCTGCAGTATTTGTCTCCATTGCCTACACTGCATAAAGTTCTAACAGCTATTTAGTTTTCTGCCCTGCTTATATAAACACCCTTCTGCTTTGTGGGGAGAAAAGAGTGCATGTTGGTGTTTTCTGACATTTGTGACATGACAGGAAGGCATAGGCTTCCTTTGGAGCACACGTGTTGTTGATGGACTACATGTACAATTTAGTAAAATGTCTTTATGCAGCAGCTTTGAGAAATGTTCTGAGCTTTTAACTGCCTTGAGTATTCATCTGGTTAATGGACTTATGTATAGAAACCATATGAAATAATGATGCAGCAGAAGGGTGGGTTTCTTTAAAGTTTATGCTTTTGCCAAGGTAAACATATCTTAATTATGGTTTCTTCACAATAATGAAGTGTTATCAAAATTCAAATCTAATTAAATACTTCTGTGTTCTTTCTACTGATTTCTCTTATTGACTCCAACACCTCATTTTCTTCATCTGGTGCACTCTAACATTTGCTCTGTGGGATCTGTTATAAAAAGGACTGTTTACTGTTTTGGTTCAGAATCTCTGGTGCTAGCTGTCGTTGAGTAGGGGTGTGGAGACCCAGTATATGGGGAGATAATTAAATTCTGGGGTGGTGGAATAGATTTTAGTAGTACTGAAGAAGTGGGTACTATAGGTAGCCACCACTCTGGAAGGCAGCTGTCTGTCCTGTGTGCAGTTAAGACCTACTTGTTTAGCTCCTTACTTCAAAGAGGTATGTGAAAACCTGTTATAGAATAATAACTGCTGAACTGTTAGTTGGCAAATAGCCCAGAAAAGGCGTTGTTAAAGAGTAAATTTAATAAAGATGTCTATTATCATGCTTTAGTAGGCTGCTTTGTTAAAGGTAATTTGTGTGCTTGTGGTGACCAGTATGATAGTGCAGTATTCACCAGGTACATGCCTGCATTTCTCTGGGTATCTGAAGAGCAGGAAGGAGAAGTAACAAACTGTTTACTATGTTAGTACTCTGTTGTGATCCTCTTGGGGACTGTGTCACTGCTGCTGAGCTGAGAGTGAAATCTGAATAGTAAAAAGGTTATTTTTTTCAGTGGCAATAACCCTGAACATCAAGGCCCTGAAGGGTGCTGGAGTTGCTCTTCATCCTTGCAGGCACACGAGTCTGCAAGTGCAGCTGTCCTTGGGCCTCGTCCAGCACAGTTCACACAGATCACTCCGAGTGTCTCTGAGGCTGGAGACACAAGTGGCGGGGGAGCAGTTTCGTCTCAATCAGAGACATCAAAGGAGCTCAGAATAGAAAGTTTTTCTAAATTCCTGGAAGGAGATAAATGGGAAGCACAAGGAGTAGTTTGAGAGTCTGTTTTGTAACACTGAGCTCAACCATAACTTCATTAGTGTTCTTCATTTGGATCCAATTACACATAAGTATGCTTTGGAGTTAAAATGTATAGTTTTGTAATTTCTTAAACTACTAATGTTGTGGGAGCAGAGGTTTCTGAGTTTTAATGTGTTCATGTGTGCCCCTCATCTTTGATGTGCTCAGTGTGTGTATGTATGGAGCTCCCACCATTTCCTTCAGGGCTGAAGCCCACGAGAAGGGCCCTCTTGTGTGCCTGTCCATGCTTTCATGAGAGCCCTCTTTCTCTTTGTGCTAAGCTTGAGCACGTAACTCCTACTGAAGAAACTACAGGATATTCTTGAACGGGAAGTTGTACAGATGTTAAAAGAAATGCTCTTAGCAGCTTCAGTGAGCCCAAAATAGCTTCTGCATGTTTCTCTTATGATAAGTTCAGGAAAAGGGGTGATTCCCTCTTCTTCCCTCTCTGTAATATTTTGAGTGCTGAAATCCCCTTGCCATGAAGAGCAGGCAGTGTGGAGCAGGCTTCTGTATTCTTCTGGACCCTGACTTAACAGGGCCAGAAGTGAGCCCTAAACAGAAATCGCATTCCTTGGCACAGAGTCCTGCTTCAAAGAAAAAGTTCCACTGAGGTCCTTGGTGGTGAGGGGGGCTAACCACTGAAGCTGGTTGTCCAGAGGGATTGTGGAGTCTGTTGTTGGAGATGATCTAAAAACTGGGTAAGGCCTGAGCAATCTGCTTGAAGGCAGGTTATCCCTGCTCTGAGCTAGATGAGATGCAGCAGTTCCTTCCAGCTGGCTGTTTGCCATGGTTGTGCATTACGGGGGAAGCATGGCTGCCTTTGTCTGTCCCCAAAACCAGTGGGAATAAATGTAGTCTTAAAATATCTGAAAATGGCCTTGAGAATTCTGAATAAAGACTTCAAAAATTGAAGTATGTAGAGAAGCATAGTGTAAGAAGGTAATTTTGCCCAAAGTCTCTTAACAGCAGGTCAGTAATAGTGCTGGGAGAGGATCATAAATCTCCTGGCTGGCAGACTAGTGCCTTGGTAGCTAAAAGATTTTGTCTTCACACATAAAACTACCTCCTTTCCCT